CTGGACCTCTCCCACCACAACTTGAGACCATTGCTCCTTGTTCAGCATCTGTCACTACTGAGAACAGCCTCTCTCCATCCTCTTTGGAACCTCCCTTCAGGAAGTTGAAGGCTGCTCTCAAATCCCCCCTCACTCTTCGCTTCTGCAGACTAAACAGACCCAAGTCCCTCAGCCTCTTCTCATAAGTCATATGCTCCAGCCCCCTAATCACTTGTGAAATAGATCTGTGGTCACTCTCCTTGGTCTCTAGGTATTCCTAGAGACTCTTAATCTGAAGCAAGTAGCAGAGGAGACTTTCACTCTGGGAACATGAAATTGTAGCCACTGAGCTGAACTCAGGGTGGTGTAACACCACATTACAAAATCCATTTACATTAAAACCATTGGCAATGTTGAAATGCCAATAGCAATCCTGGGGGACCCAGCCTACCCCTTGCTTCCTTGGCTTATGAAGCCATCCACGGGCCAGCTTCACGGCACTAAGGAATTATTCAACTCCTAGCTCAGCAGAGGCAGAATTACAGTGGAATGAGCTTTTGGGAGACTGCAGGGCTGCTGATGGTTTTTACTTACCAGACTGGATCTCAGTGAGAGAAACATCCCAATGGTGTGTCCTGCCTAATATCTGCTCACTGGCCTGCAGGATTTCATGGAACATGTTTGCTTCTTTCTCCTCCTTCTCTGGGTCAGGCATTTATGGAACTCTCGAGGCTGCAACGGAAGCACCAGAATTCCTTTCCCTTGCTCCCCTAGCGTTTTAAACTAGACATGCCTGTCGTGGGGTAGTTTCTCGGACCCTCGCCCAGGGGGCACTGTGGAGCCTCATGGCCTCGTGGCAGCACACCCTGCGTCTTCTACAACCCCAGAGTCCCTCTTCCCCAGGGCAGTGCGGCCTAGTGGTCAGAATTTCTACTACTCCCCTTTTCACTTGGGCAGCATGGCCTAGTGGCCAGAGTCTCTAGCAACACCCTTTTCACCGGGGAAGCTTGGCCTCACAGCTGATTCAAAAGTCAAGGTACAGCATCCCCTTGAGGAATAAGGAGGTTGAGTAGGGGGACCCAGGCCCTCCTTCTCCACCAGGTCCCAGCCCAGGGCCTTGTCTGTGATGGACACATCCCACCACTAGCGCAGTGGCCAGCCCACCCAAAACACTCTCAGCTTCTCAGGGTTCCAGTTCCCCACCCTGGGCTACTTCCCATCCTGTTAGGATTGCTGGCATCTTCCCCACCTGCGCCCTCTGAGCCGGGCCCTTCTGTGCGCAGCCTCTGCTGGCTGCGTCCGCCTGCTGCTCCTCCGGGCTGGCCTCCAGGTCGGGTCTCTCAGGCAGCTCCCATGCAGGAGCTGGGGTAGTACATCCTTCCTCCTCAGCAGCCATCCCGGACTGAGCCTCCCTCCAGGCTTTTATACCTGGGTTGTGGTCTGAGCATGCCCAGCAGGGCTGCGGGGGCGGGGCTTCTTCAGCCAGGTGAGCCTGATTGGGCTCAGCTTTCCCAGGGCGGGGCCGGTCCACCCGGTCACACTGCCTACACCCAATTCTGCCTCAGAGTGCTTGTGCACAGCCCCACGTACAGCCCCAGCCACCGTGGGCGAGGGAGATGAGCGAATGCCCTGCTTGCACGACTCTGTGACGGTTAGGCAATGCACTGAAAACGGACCCCATTTTCCACCGGCGGGGGTGATTTAGCAGCTCTCTCGTTCCTGGGGGTAAGAAAAACACAGAGCAGAGCACGCAATTGCTGCTGGTGCCCCAAAGCCACCCAGGTTCATATGCTTCTACCCGGCGTGCTGCAATGGTGCCTGCCAAAGATATTGCCGCCTGGCATGGGAAAGCAGCTACCCATGCCGGAGGAAGAAATGAGGCTGCCGTCCCTAGAAGTCTTCAGGAGAAGATTGCAGAGAACCTCCAGGAAAGTTTCAACGAGACCCCAGGAACGTCTCTGTGAATAGATACAGACTGTTCCGCACAGTCGCTGCCTCCTCCCCGCCACCCGTTTCACCGGGGAGTGAAAAGCAGATAGCAAAGCACCTGCTCTTTGTTGTGCTGCTACTTCTTCTAGTACAAGAAAACTCATGAAAAGTCGCTGGCTGAGTCCAATGAATTTGGGGGTGCCATCCACACATCATAAGAACGGCCAGACTGGGACAGACCAATGGTCCATCTACCCAGTCTCCTGTCTGCCCACAATGGCCAATGACAGATTAAAAAAAAAAATTAAATTAAAGGAGATTGCCTATCTCCTAGAACTGGAAGGGACCTTGAAAGGTCATCAAGTCCAGTCCCCTGCCTCAGGACCAAGTACCACCCCTGACAAATATTCACCCCAAATTCCTAAATGGCCTCCGCAAGGATTGAACTCACAACCCTGGGTGTCCCAAAGGGGTGAACACAACAGGGCATTCTCACATGAGCCCTCCCCTCTCACCCATTTCCAGACACACAGAGGCCAGGGACACCATTCCTACCCATCCCGGCTAATCGCCATGGATGGACCATAGTAACGGGAAATACAATTACTGCAGGCTACGTCTAGACTGGCATGATTTTCCAGAAATTCTTTTAACGGAAAAGTTTTCCGTTAAAAGCATTTTTGGAAAAGAGCGTCTAGATTGGCACGGACGCTTTTCCGTAAAAGCACTTTTTGTGGAAAAGCATCCATGGCCAATCTCGACGCCCTTTTCCGCAAAAAAGCCCCGATCGCCATTTTCGCGATCGGGGCTTTTTTGCGCAAAACAAATCTCAGCTGTCTACACTGGCCCTCCGGGCCCGGTGCTGAGCGGTGTCCATATTTCTGTGGCTGGTCTGCAGCTGGACCTGCATAACTTATTCTCCCACAGGTCCAGGAGATCCAATATCTCCCGCGTACTCCAAGTCTCAGCTGTGCAGGTGGCGTGGTCAGCTGGGCGGTGGCACACCATAATGGAGCGCTCACCAAACGGAACAATCAAACTGCCAGGTAGCACTCACCAAACTGGACAATCCTACAAAGGCATTTCAAAAATTCACAAGACTTTAAGGGGCTACGGGGGAGGGGAGCCTTTCAGTCTCCGTGACCTCTGGGCAGCGGAGTTCCCAGTGGTGACCCAAGTGCTCTGTGTCTGGCATTGCAGGACAGCTCCTGGAGGACTGTTAGGGTGCACATAAATATCACTGCATCTCTACTCATGCTGCATCAATCTCAGTGCATTGACCAGGGCTCGCTGCCAGCTGGGGAGGCGGTGTGATTCCTCAGGGTAACAGCACTGACATCCGGGGGATACACATCGAAGTGTAAATACGTGCCCAAGCAGGTCAGTGCAAAGTGGCTTACGTCGACCTAATTTTGTCACGTAGACCAGACCAGGCCTAAATCAAGAGCCTCTGGAGCTGAAAGCATAAATCACTCCAGCCTGCTCTAAAGAGTCTTTTCTGAAGCCAAAAGCTGTAACAGACTCACATCCTCTGTGGACCAGGTGCAGAGAAGGACACACGACATACACTGACCAGAGACAAGTCTCAGAGGGGGAGCCGTGTTAGTGTGCGTCTACAAACACAACAAGGAGTCCTGTGGCACCTTAAAGAAGTACGTCTACACAGCAACATTATTTCACAATCAGTAGCGGTTTTTTTGAAATAACTTAGGGTACGTCTACATTGCATTCCTCCTTCGAGAGAGGAATTCAAATGCAGACAAGCAAAATTGCAAATGAAGGCCGCTTTTCCGAAATAGCGTCCAAAAAATGAGGAGTAAGGGTTATTTCGAAGAAAGGGGTTTTTCTCAAAATAACCCTATGGGGACTGCGTTTGTTTTCCCGAAAGATGCTAATTCAGTAAAGCGGCGGTCCACGATTATGCAAATGAAGCATGGGAAATTCAAATCCGCGCTTCATTTGCAATTTCGCTTGTCTGCATTGGCATTCCTCTCTCGAAGGAGGAATGTAATGTAGACATACCGTTAGTCCGCATCTACACAGCAGGCGGTTATTTCGACTTAATGTCGAAATACTGTCAAGCTGGAGGACTTCTTACGCCAACTCCTGTAACCTTCATTGTACGAGGAGTAAGGAAAGTGAGAGGAAGAGTGCTCTATTTCGAAATAAGTGCTGTGTAGACCCTCCCAATTTCAAAATAAACTACACAATCGACGTAGCTCAGTTTGCGTTTATTTCGAGTTCAGATCTGCTGGGTAGACGCACCCTCAGATTAACTTGGGCATCAGTAAAACCCACTTCATCAGATGCATGCGACCGACCAGCAAGCTACGGTAGTGCTTGCTCCTGCCAGCCCTTCCTACAGAATAAAGGCAGCTCTAGCAAATTCAGAAGCTGTTGCTGCTTTTCCTCACAGGCTACTGAAAGTTTAGTGGCTCTTGTGGTTTTTGGTAAAGTGGAAAAGACAAACCCCTATCTCTGCGTCATTGACCGCTCTGAGTTAAGGACCCTGGTCCTTCCTGGGGGGTTTACATCAAGATCTTTGTAGTTCACGTTTGGACAAGCAAAACAAAGCTCGCGTCGAGGAGATGTCAGTGTTCCAAGGCCCAGAAATGAAGTGTTGTGTGTCCATGAAAGAAACCATGCTGTTAATTCCCTCTTCCACTCTCAGGCCTTTCCTTCCCCAGATGATCTGTGCTCAGAAAATCCAACTCAAACAAAGCCGGCCGCGCTTTCCCGGCCTACTTCTTGGTTCAAAATATGAAGGACAAGCAGAGATATTTTGTCCGTGACTTTTGTCATAGAAATGGACTGTCTGTTGAAAACCACCGCTCGCGAATATTTGGGCGAAGTACAAATGGCTCTTCCCTTTGACCAGGTGTTGCTTATGAGTAACAAATATTCACACGACAGGCTGGAACAGGCTTGGGCAAAAAGACTTTAAGCAGGCACTCGGGCTGCCTCCGAGGCAATTTTTCCCCTTTGAAAATACTGCCATAAAAATGTAACACTGAAGAAAACTCCCCATTGCGCTCACCTCTGTGACATACACGCATCTTAGTGTATATAGGGCTTTTTTAAAGGCAACATTATGCAAAGGCAATTTATTTTTTCTGCTCTTTTAGCAAACCACAAAGAAATTAAATGCAAACAAGTAATCCCAACCTACCCTCCCTCATTAAGACAATGGTAAGGTTATGCAGTTCAAATTCAAGTCAGGAAATGAAGAATTTTTTGTTCCAAACGCAACATTAATGAACCGTGTTGCAACTTACGTAATATTTATTTTTTTCACATTCATTAGGTAGCTTAATATACTGGTCTATTATTTATGCGCCTGCTCCTACAAATGCATACCCACCTGCACGTCATTAACCGCAGAACTACTCATGTGCACGGATGTTTGCAAGATCTGGGCCTGTGACATTAGCTATAGTCCATAAAACACATTTAGTGCCCAGAGGCAGGGCTGGCTCTAGGCACCAGCAAAGTAAGCTCATGTTTGGGGGTGGCACATTTCCGGGGGCGTCATTCCGGCCATATTTGTGTGCACTTGTGTGTACTGTTTCGCCCCCGTTCTGCCCCCATCCGCGGTCACCTGCCAGCAGCAGCCCTTTCCACGCGCCTCCCCATACGGGGGGTCCCAACGCCCAGGCAGGTACCCCATAGTCCCGCCCTTCCACGGGCAGCACTGCCTGAGTCTCTTTCCCACGGTGCAGGGACCTGTGTGTGCCCTGCTGCGCGTGCTGATTGGCCGTCCGGTGCCACGTCACAGACCCAGCGGGGAGAATAGGAAGGGGA